TAAATAATTACATAATTCATTCTGAATATTCTGAATATTCTGAATATGTACATATACATGATTAGTAGTATGAAACCTTTTATTCGAAGAATCTGGAAGAAAATTAAAAAAATGCCCAAAATAAACATGATAATTGTTATGCAATATTTTTTGGTCTTAGTATTGAGCTTTGTAAGATTAGAATACTGTACGTAATATAATCAAAGATCGCAATAAAGGTCATTCCCTTTAATCCGTTTAGATCAAAGATAATAAAATATATTATATACAACGTTTTAATCAGATTTTATGGCTCTAGTCCACGTGAAATATCCGGCTCCAATGAGGTGATTGAAGAATCTGAACGGGAATCAGGTGGCGTTGGGGGTAAAACGATCGCTGTGGATGGAATTGATGATGAAATAGACGTGGATGAAGAGGACAATTTTGTAGGGGAGGGTGGTATATCATTATTATTCATATGCTTTCTCAATGAAATTGGGCTCCTACAGAGTGGACTAAAAATTACGAGGAATTTAGTCAAGAGTTAAAAGTTAATAGGTAACATTTGTCAGTATATAAATACCATAAATTCATCATTTTTGCACATTCCACGCAAAATCCATCATGATTACATGGCCTCAGGGTAATGCAAGGAGGCATTGCAAAGCAAATAGAACATTGTGCATCAAAGTCATCTTCAGTCGTCTCAAATTGCTGCTTCAAACTAGAACTTATGGAAATTGATCGGTAACGTGAAGTTCTCCAAACTCTCTTTTGTATTGAATCGCGGAGTTCTGCTGATAGTTGGCCATAATTATTAAGCTTTTGATAAGATAATGATGACGGTGGATATCTTAAAAAATATATATATATAATATATATATATTTAGCCATTTAGACAAATAATGAATTATTCTGATGGTATTTATAAAACTTACCGAAATTTTTCGGCTCCAAAATTGACAACAGCTTGTTGATATGAGGTAAATGATAAGGCAGGATGCAGTCCACTTTCGGCCAATTTCCGAAATTGAACAATGTTGAGGGGATGTACCATTCCCAAATCTTTGCCATTAAGATAGAAACGAACACAACCAAGGTTAATATCCATGTATACACCCACAATATCTCCTATTATTTGGTTAACAAAAAAAAATTTTTAATTATTGTTGACAGAGAAGGCAAGTAATGTATACATAATCACGCAATACCTGGTTTCCATGACACATTGCCACCATATGGTATGGATACACCATTTGCCTAGAAAAAAAATACAATTCATTATATTTAACAATAATATATTTATTTATTATCCATTCAGTGAACCTTACCCATAAAACATTTCTACAACCATCATACGCAAATCCGTACTAATTTATAAAATTTTGTTACACATTTTAAAATTACAAAATAAATCAAAATATTACACAAGTGATAGTGATACTAACATGATCATCGCCAATACCTGTACCTTCTTCTGGTCCAAACGTGCAGCGTTTGGTTGCATATCCAATCTGAAAATTTTTAAATATTTCCACACAACTATCAGATGTTTTTTTGTTTCATCATAATCATTGAAACAATGAAAAAACTCGAACAAACCTGCATAATACCATTGGTGAGCAATAGAACTTCATAGAACCATCTTCCGGAAGTAACTCCTGTCGTAGCACGAATTGATTCGAATGTAAAATTGTCATTTCTTATCTATAAATATTATATTATAAATTAATAAGGTTTAGAAGAAAAAAGCTTCAATACAATATTTATCAAAAAATCAATACCTCTAAACCATGTGGTGATAATTTCCAATGAGAAGTGGCATCCAAGGGGTTCAACATTACATTTATGTTATGATTAGTTGAATTATCATCAGGATTCCATATATCTCCCTAAAAATTAAAATTAAAATTAAACCAAATAACAT